ACGGGGGGCGGGGCCAGGAAAGGGGCGTGGCCGCGGCGGAGGGACCAGATAAGGGGGCGGGGCCAGTGAAGGGGCGGGGCCCGGGGCGGGGCGCATGGTCCGGGCCCCAGCGCGGAAGGCCGGATCCGGCGGTGGAGGAACCGAGGCGGGTCGGGCTGGCCCGGCGCTTTCCGGAGAGGTAGCTGCGGTCCCGGCCCTGGGAGAGGCGCGGACGTTGGCCTGGAGGGAGGAGGGAATCGGACGCCTTGGGCGTGGCCTCAGAAGGGGGCAAGGCCGGGGCCACAGCCGGTTCTGAGTCTTCTGGGATTTTGGTGGGTGCAGCTGCGGATGTGTGATAAGACTATTTTATTGAGGTATAACTCACATACGGTAAAATGCACAAACCGTAAGTGTTCAGCTCCATGAATTTTTATACACTTGTGTAACCACCACGCAGATCAACAAATACAGCATGCCCATCACCCCAAAAAGTTTCCCCGTGCCCCTTCGCAGTCCACCTCCCTTTCCCACCGCGCCATCGCCCAGGCTCAGGCAACCACTATTCTGCTTTCTGTCACTGTAGGTTAGTTTTGCCCATTTGGGGGCTTCATACACTTGGAATCATACTGAATGTTCTCTTTTCTTTCTGGTTTCACTCAACACAATGCCTTTGAGATTCGTCATGTTGAGCATATCAGCAGTTCCTATCAGTAGTTCAATCGTTTGTTCCTTTTTATTGCTGAGTAGTATTTCACTGTGCAAAAATACCACAATTAGTTTTTTGTTCATCTGTTGGTGGACACCTGGGCTGTTCCCTTTTTTGGGGAGCTGAGCCCTGGTTGGCATAGTGGTTAAGAGCTCAGCTGTGGCTGCTAACCAAAAAAAAGGTCGACGTAGGCCTGCCAAACTGGAGTATATTATCAGTATCTCTCTGAGCAGAGTGTCCCTGTGACTGTACTTATAACTTCATTTGGAGATAGCATCAAAAGTCTACCTCTGGGGAAAATGCAGAACAGAATTTCAAATTCTCATGGACTCCAGACTTTCTGGAGCCATGGAGGCTGGACCAACCCCTGAAATTATTGCCCTGTGATAATCTTTTAACCTTAAACCAAAAATATCCCCTGAAGTCTTCTTAAAACGATACAATAGTTTAGCTGGTAAAAATCGTCCACCTTGAGCATTATGCTCTTTTAAGAACTGTCTATATGGGATTAAATTGACAACAGCAACTTGACAGATTTGAGATTCATCAAATACAGACAGAGGTTGGCACCAAGATTTCCTATGACGGGCAGCAATGCTCTAAGTCACCTGAGTAGAGGTCTGCACAGGGCATTTCAGGGTGGGGGTTTACAGCCTTTGTCTTTACCTGCAAGGATACATGCAGGAGACCCAGGGAAAAACAGGTCGAATCTGTGATGGATAGGGTTGTTTCTGTACTAGTTAATGGGTTTCAATCCACATTACCATGAAGTCAGGTGTTTGGTGTGTTTCTTCCTGACTCAGGTCACTGCTCAGTAAGGTACTCTGGTTCTTTCCCAGAGTCCTTTGTGGGCAGCATCCATCTTGTATTGTTCAAGGCCCTTTCAATATTGCATATCATTTCTCATGTACACTTAATTTTCTCTCCTGTACTTGTCCAAGGCTTTGGAACCCATGACTGGGATGGCGAGGACCTCAGGGAAGCAGAAAGACTGAGCACTGGATAATTTATCCTCTAAGGGGCCTTCATCCAGTTCTCCAGCTGTCATGGATTGAATTGTGTCCCCCAAAAATATCTGTCAACTTGGTTAGGCCATGATTCCCAGTATTGTGTGATTGTCCACCATTTTGTCATCTGATGTGATTTTCCTTTGTGTTGTAAAATCCTACCTCTGTGATGTTGATGACATGGGATTAGCGGCAGTTAGGTTAATGAGGCAGGACTCAATCTATTAGATTGTGTCTTGAGCCAATCTCCTTTGAGATATAAAAGAGAGAAGCGAGCAGAGAGACAGGGGGACCGCATACCACCAAGAAAGCAGCGCTGGGAGCAGAGCACGTCCTTTGGACCCAGAGTCCCTGCGCAGAGAAGCTCCTAGTCCAGGGGGAGATTGATGACAAGGACCTTCCCCAGAGCCAACAGAGAAAGAAAGCCTTCCCCTGGAGCTGACGCGAATTCAGACTTCTAGTCTCCTAGACTGTGAGAAAATAAATTTCTCTTTGTTAAAGCCATCCACTTGTGGTATTTCTGTTACAGCAGCACCAGATGACTAAGACACCAACAGTCTTCTAAATCAGCAATTCTCAGTGTGTGGTCCCCAGCCCAGCAGCACCTGGGACCTTGTGAGAAATGCAAATTCTTGGGCCCCACCCCAGACCTGCTGAATCAGAAACTCTGGGTTGTGGGCTCAGCAGTGTCTGATCTGACAAACTGGTCAGCCTCCACTCCGTTCTCCTTCCCCCTCTTGTTTTGTTTTTGACAGCCCTCCTTCTTGGACTACCTATCTTCTCACCTCCAAATCCTTCACCCTCTGTCATGCAGAGAAATGTCTCCAGCTCCTGCCTCCAAACTTGTATATCTCAGCCGAGTGAGGGTGCTGCTGAACAAAGCCTCCTCAGGAAAGCTGGAGTCCTCCCCCACTGTAGCTGCTTTTCCTTCTAACAGAACAGGAAAAGATCTGGTAGCATCTTTTACCAGCTGACCACAACTCATGTACCCCTATTTGATTATATGACACATCTGGTGAGATGTACTGATACAATAACAAAATGACAGTTATTTCTGTCATACTTGTGGTGCTTTTGGTTGCAAGCTACAGAAACTAAACTCCAAGCAAAAAGAAGAAAATTCATCAGCTCATGGAAATGCGTTATGCTGAGGTGAAATCCGATTTCAGGCATGGTTGGATCCGGGAGCTCAAATCAGGCCTGGTCAGGACTGCAGTCTTGTGGCTTCCCTCTCCTCTGTGTTAGCTTTTCTGCCAGGCAGGCCTTCTTATGTCATGACCCCAGCAGCTCTCTAAAAGCACCTCTTTCCCAATGGTTCTGGTACTAATTCTCATTGGTCCAGACATGAGTCATGGCTCCATCTTTCAACCAGTCCTTACAGCCAGGGAGATGAAACATTTGTATTGGATAGGCTAAATTCTACCTGTGGAGCTAGGGGTGGGGTAGGGTCAGCCCACCAGGAACTGAGTTGGGAAGGGCAGATTCCCCAAAGGAAAATCAGGGTGCAGGTACAAGAAACCAAAACAAAAACAACAAAAACAAAAACCCGTTGTCATTGAGTCAATTCCATCTCATAGCAGCCCTATAGGACAGAGTAGAACTGCTCCATAGGGTTTCCAAGGAGTGACTGGTGGATTCAAACTGCTGACCTTTTGATAAACAGCCAAGTTCTTAACCACTGCACCACCAGGGCTCCAGGTATGAGAAGGGGGGAAAGCAGCAGGTATTGACAACACACTTCTAGTACCCGCCCTTTAAATCTTTTTCCAGTGCATTTCAAGAGGTTGATTCGGCTCTAAGAGCCAGCCATATCCCTGCTGAGGAAAACTGATTGGTGTCCCTACCTTTGAGGCTGCACCTAACTGGACAGAGTAACCCATGAGCCAATGACAATCAATGAGCTGGCCAGCAATGTTTGCAGTGGGCTGATGTGAGACTTTGCTCAACAGGAGTGGGCGTTTCTGTCAGAACCATTCAGACCCTCTCCCTTGAGGAGTCTGAATGTGAGCCATGGGGAGGGAGTTGCCAGTTGGGAAGGATAAACTGCAGAAGCCACGGGACACAGAAAGAAGGCGGAAGCCAAGAGGCTGGATGGGCCAGGCGAGGAAATAAAGAGAGGTTGATTGGAATAGAAGGAACCCTGGTGGCCCAATGGGTGAGCACTCAGCTGCTAACCAAAAGGTTGGCAGTTCAAACCCACCCAGCGGCTCCACAGAAAAAGACCTGGCGATCTGCTCCGATAAAGGTTACAGCCTAGAAAACCCTATGGGGAAGTTCTACTCTGTCATAGGGGTCACTATGATTCAAAATTGACTCAGCAACGAGAGGAACAGCGTGCCCGAGGCGCAGAAGACGGTCAGCAATATGTACTTACTCCTGAGGGAGAAATCAACAGGGACGCCTAGCTCTTAATGTCTAACCATCTGGCAAGGGGTGCCTGAGAATCAAAGGACTTAAAAGCTGAGAACTGTTGCGAACAGATGATATCTATTGTCATGAGGCTGCCTCCCTGATCACAGCTCCTTATCTAACCTGTTCTTTTTTTTAATTTTATTTGTCGTTGTTGAGAATATACACAGCAACACATATACCAATGCAACCGTTACTACATGTACAATTCAGTGACATTGATGACATTCTTCAAGTTGTGCAACCATTCTCACCCTCCTTTTCCGAGTTATTCCTCCACCATTAACATAAATTCACAGCCCCCTAAGCTTCCTATCTAATCTTCTGAGTTGCTGTTGTCACTTTGATCCCATACAAAAACCAAAAACCGGTTGCCATCGAATTGATTCTGACTCATAACGACCCTACAGATAGTTCTTAAACAAGCACAGTGCTCAAGGCAGACCTTTTTTTTTTTTCACTAGTTAAGCTAAACTATTGTTCAGTTTTTAAGACGACCGAGGGATATTTTTAGTTTAAAGATTGTCTCAGGGCAATAGTGTCAGGGGTCCATCCAGCACCAATGGCTCCAGAAAGTCTGGTTGTTGTTGTCATTGTTGTTAGGTGCCGCCAGGTCGGTTCTGACTCAT